AAAATATTTTCTTTTTCATTTTGATTCAACTTCTATCATGCTCAAAGGTTTATGCCTGTGTGGGGATTTACTATACTCCATCCCTGCTTCTGTTTTAAGTGAGGCAATTTGTGAAAGTTTTATTTTGTTGGAAAATAATGTACAACGATGGAAAGTTGTCTTGTCTTCCAAATCTTTACCAAGTGAGGTTAATCCAATCCGGAGAGAAAATACTGACTGTTCGAGTTATGTTTTTGTAGTTTTCTACATCCTTTATTAACAGGACTGCAGGTGTCACTGCCACAGAGATTGAAATGAATCCTTTACCCACACGCACTACCCTTGGCAGGGGTCACCTCAGCTTAGTTTGTGGTTGAAATGGCTGACTGAATGTAATTCATTAGAAGTGCAGCCACTGTTGACATTTTAACAGGGTCCAAATCAAATCTTATTTTTAAGGGAAACCTATAGCAGCACGACAGCATTGTTAGTATGATGGGGAAGCTGCCCTCTGACCAGAAGTCCCAGGTGTAAATAACAATGCAGAGAAGCTTTTGACCTGCTGAAGTGCCTTTCAGCACAACAATGAACTGTTTCCTGCTTGTCTGGACAAATATTGTTCTTTCATTATTATTTAAAAAACTTGATCTTGATTTAGATTGATGGATGGATGGATACATTTATGGTTTTGTATTTGTGCGATAATGTCTCCCTACTGTTTCTGCTTTGCAGTGACTCAGCACTGCTGAAGCCTTGGATCAACAAGGATATTCAAAAACAAGTCCACCCAATTAGAAGTGTGTGTTCTCCTGCAATATTTTGATGTAAGCTAACAACACTGAGGGCAAGATCATCAGGCATACAACGTAAAGCAGAATCTGCCTCAGATTGTTAACTTGACTGCCAAATACAGATCTGCTGTGAATTAAAGATCAGAGTGGGAGCGAGATTACTATCAGTTTCTCTCCGGCTGTGATCATGCCCTGGAGAGACCCTACAAATCAGGCCGCTACAACTTAACTGGCTGACAGACAGAAAGTATTTCACTGTAGGTTTGGATTGCACAGTGCTCTTAACAATGTTTAAATGGCCTATTGAGCTGCTCTTAGCTGCTTAGCCGCTTGGTAATGACTTTAAAGTGATAACGCTTCACTTATCACTTCAAAGAGCATCCACCTTTAGACAGATCCACTGCTTTTTCCTGTACTGTCCACATTTGGAGTGAACATGAGAAACCTCTCTCCCGAAATACCTATAAATACTGCAGGAACTCAATAATACCATGAAATTAAACGCATTTATACAAAGAAATATCTCAAGAGGTAGATGGTTGTTCTCCAATCATTAGTGCAATGGTTCAACCTCCAGCCCCTGCAGTCAACATGTCGATGTGTCCTTGGGCGAGATAGTTAATGCTAAATTGCTCCCGATGGTATGACCAACAGTGTGTGCACGTTAGTCTCTGACAGGCTGCACTTTGTATGGCAGCCTCTATGAATGTGTGTGAATGCTGACGTGTATATGTGCTTTGAGGGGTCCCAAATATAAGCGCTATATAAAGGCAGTCCTTTTAACATTTACCATATCTTATTTTGTATAAGGTTAGGAAACACTGAATACATACTGCGAGGGGCATCTGGCAAATTCTGTGCTAATTAGCACCCTTTATGAGGAGTATGTACTGTAGAGGCGGAGCTAGATTTACGAGAACCCTTAGTCCAAATGTAATTAGAGGATAACAGTATTGGTTAATTAATCTTCTCTGAATTAAGAAAGTCTCTTCAATTGAATCACTCATTGTTTTAGAAAATGTGCTTATTCCAGTTTTGGCATACTGCAGTTTTCACCAGTAAATGGAAATTGTTCTTTTACTAAGCATCATTTGAGTTCACTCCTTCATTGCTGTATTTGTATTTATTTATGTACTTAATTTTAGGAGTAGAGGTACTGTATATGTTAATTTGCATATTTGTCAATTAGGAGCAATAAACAAAGTTTACACTCTTTGTTGGATTTGAAGATACGTTAAGACTAGATTATTCTTTCCTTTTTCTTTCAGTTGTATCTGCTTACTTTCTTCATTCATCTGTAGTTTATTTCTTGCTTTAGGAAATGAAGAAGCTAATTGAATATAGTTTGGGGTTGCAGGCTGCTCCTAATGTCTTTCTAAATGGGCCCGTTTGGATCTATTGAACAGCACTGAGCTTCTTGCTAATGACCTTAGTGTGATAACGCTTCAGTTCCTTCCCTTAAGTCTGCTGCCACTATCTGCCTTCACTGTCTAGACACACACACATATACAAACTTATACATAGAGATGGAAACATTTAGGCACATACACACAGACAAACTGCGCTTAAACACACAGTGAAACCGGCGTACCTGAACATTATTCTATACCTGAGACACTGATCTACACACACACACGCACGCACACACACACACACACACACACACACACACACACACACACACACACACACACACACACACACACACACACACACACACACACACACACACACACACACACACGCACACACACGCACACACACACACGCACGCACGCACACTCAAAGTCAAAGTCAAGACATGTGTTGGTGCAGATTGTCTGTTTCTGACTGTGCTCTACTTAACTCTATTTCTTTATGAGCTGCTGACACAAACAAACAAACATGACTTGCAACAACAACACCTTATCTTTACTTTTCTTGGTTTCATTTTTATGTTTCATGAGCTTAGATTAATTGCAGAAAAAAAAACGTTTTAGAGAGGTTTAGAAAAAAAACCCACTTCTGGGGTCATTTGGGTGGATTTGCCATATCTCTGGCCCCCCTCGGTCGGTTTGGATGATTGACACCTCTTTTGAACCGTTAGAGCCAATAGAATCGAGAGGGAAGTTCCTAAATCCACCTACACGTTACCATTGAGTAGGCGCTGCCATTGAGGAATGAGAGTGATGCGCACGCAACTTGCCCAAACCGAAAGCTATGTTACGCTCTGAAAACTGAAAACTAGGCTTATTGCCATTAATATGACGATGGATTATCAGTAATCATTTCAAAGTGACACATTGGATTAACCTTCCATTTTAGAAACAATAAACATTGCCAGAGGCTTCACACTGTAGTGTATAATAAGATATAAAGAAGCTTTCTACAAGTATGAGCCTCACATTTATTGAGTTGCATCTTGAACATAAGTTGCTGATCTAAAAAAGAAACATGCTATTTTTATTGTAATGATCGCCCTTTGGTTTATCATTTTGCACTGTTTTAGAGATTGTGTGTGTTTATGAATACATTCAAACCTGGGAGTACCGATCTCTCCAGTTACCGTGGCTTCTTTGCCATTCCTGTCATGATTGCAGTAAATCCCTTCGAGGACTCCATATCCTTTTACATTATTTGAACATTTGCTATCCAATTTTATTTTGACAAAGCACGGCCAAAGGCTTAGCTATGCTCAGCTGTTTATGCCTATTTAAATGATTTGTACATCCGTATCACCTGCGGTAGGGTTTTTCCTCACTCTGGTGTGATTTGCCATGTGATGGATTCTCATCCACAACATCACATGTTCATGGTTCATATTAGTGCTCAATACACCAGAGACTGCCTGAACGAGACCAGCAGGTTTTCTGAACACGGCGGAAATATGCCATCTCCCATTCTGTCAGGGAAATGATCAAGAGCTAATAAATAATGGACAAGCAGCAAATAATAGAAGACCAGTATTACGGCATTTTAGAGGGCACAGTAGATTGATGACCCAGTGCTGCATGCATGCAACTACAGCCACAAACGTGCCTGCAAGTAAGGCATTAAACACCTACTTTCTCAGTGTTCAACAGCAGAATGATGTGTTGCAGGGTGCATCCGACATGGCTCCCTGAAGAGATTTGTTTAACTATGAATATAACAGAGGATGCTGCCAAATAAAAGCAAGGCTGCTTTCTGTTTTGGAGTTCTGTTCCTTCTCTCTGCCCTCTTGTATTAAAGATGGATTATTTTAGAAATATCAATATGTCACTGTCAAATTAATTGGTATACCTTTGGCAAAGCAGCTTTCATTAAATTAGAGGATGGTCACAGCCAAGAACACCGCTTGTCTCTCCCTCTCTCTGGTTTATCATTACTCACACATTTTTAGAGCAGTGTTTCAGTATTTCTTCAACATTTGTTGCCTCCTGCTACGAGGAAAACTTCTTCCAACTACTCGTAGTTTTCTTTTTCTTTCTCAATGTACCTTATTTTTCCAAATTCACATTTACAATATAATATACAATACTGCAGTATTGTTTCACTCCTGAAGGTAATTGAGAAGAACATTACTCTCTAGGTACACCTGGAGTACTGCCATTTTTTATCGCTATCACCGACTTTTATTTTTGTACTTTATTTTATATTTTATATTTTATTTTTTGATTTCTTATTATTATTAAAAGTATTTGTTTAATCTATCAAAGTGTATTAGTATCCTTTGTTGTGAAGCACTTCGAGATTTGTCTTGGCAGATGAGAAGCGCTATATAAATTAAATGTATTATTATTATTATTATTATTAGGACTGTCCGTACCTATGTTTTGCTCTGAAGTGACTTTCCTCTCTGCTGTAATTACAAATGACTTCATGGAATGAAGGTCATGAGGTCATGAGGTTGGCAGAGCCTGCCTATCTTTTCTAAAAGTATATATTTTTGTTTACAAAATACTATTATTCATTTAGTGTTATTAACATGCAGCCCTTATCTTCATGTAGCACTTTAATTTCTCGAGAGGAAGTAGTTTGTCAAACAGAATTCCCATTTCAATTCTAAGCTTTCACCTGTCCCCAGTGATATAATCATGAGTTTCTATTGCTGGAAATTGTGAGGGTGAATCAGCAAGAGGCCATACCTGCAGGCATTTATAAAAAACTCTCTCTTTTCTTGTCTTCCTTTTTGCTTTGATATATTCTCACCTTTGCTCATTGTCTGTATCTATAACTGGTTCTGTGCTTGCTTTCCTTTTGTTTTTCCAGGTGATAAAGCTGTCATTTGAAGAGTTTGACCTGGAAAGAGGATACGACACACTTACTGTGGGAGATGGAGGGAAGATAGGAGACACTCGGAGGGTACTCTTTGTGTAAGCACCACCATGTGTTCTGTCTTATAATATAGTAATATTGACACACGTTAATGGTGGCAATCAGAAGAAGAATTGAAGACCAATGAACAATAATGTGCAGGAAGTCAGGAACATGTGTATATATTGAATATCTACAATCATTTGATGTTCTATTTTTAACTAAATGGGCTACAAAAGGAATTATATGTGTGCATAAACAATGCTGTACACCAATCATAAATAAATCAATTTGAAGATAGTTTAGTCTCGCTTTTAAGTGGAAAGCGATTAACCTGTAATGCTTATTAACAGTGTGTATTTGTGTGTGTAGACTTACTGGTTCCAGTATCCCTGACCTCATCGTTAGCTTGTCCAATCAGATGTGGCTACACCTGCAGTCAGATGATACAATCGGCTCTGCGGGATTCAAGGCAAATTTCGAAGGTAAGACCTCCATTGTAATGAATGCACAGCTTTTAAACCACTCTTTTATTTCCCTCTGTATCTGACACACACACACACACACACACACACACACACACACACACACACACACACACACACACACACACACACACACACACACACACACACACACACACACACATAATGGAGTGTGAAAGTCATGGCTTTGCTGACGGGGTGAACACAACTGCTGTTGTCTGTCAGTGTGTGTGTGTGTGTGTCCGTGTGTGTGTGTGTGTGTGTGTGTGCATTACAAGAAGGTAATAAATGAATTATGAGTCAATCAGTTGATCGTTTTGCTTGGTTATTTTTCATAATATACCAAAGCTGACACTGATAGAGAGATAAAGATGGTGACAGTCACAGTGAGTGAAGGTGAGAGGGAGATATATATATGTTCCTCTAAATATTTATTACTTAGAGAGCAATCCTTTTATAATATTTATATATTTGATTACCTTCTGCATCTCACCATGCCAGCTCCTTAAATCGAATTGAACTAAATGGAACCAAACTAAATTTGATTAACCAGAGTCAAAGAGTAAGAGAGGTAGAGATAAAAGCAATTCATTATGCATAGAGACAGAGGACAACAGGAGTTGGACGGAGTGGGACAGTAGGAAATGGAATACAAAATTGAGTGAGAAGAAATAAACTTGGAGAGATCACAGAAGTGTGAGAGAGGAGGTGAGCATGAATGGTGGAGGGATGAAGGTTGTGCTCTTGGTTCTGCTTAGCTATGTTTGATTCAATGATGCTGCTGACAGAGGTGCCAGGGTCAGTGACTGTGAGGGGGATTCAGCACAGTGAAGCTGCAGAAACTGCCTTAAACTGTACGCAGGTGATGTTTGACAGTTACGCAGCTTACACATTTCATTGGATCAACATGAGGTTAAGATTTAGGGTCTTTTTCCTATTTACAACTTGGGTTAAGAGGTCCAATACACTGTTATGTGATATTGATTTCAAGACAATGACACATATCACATTATGAAACTAAGAAAAGAGGAAACAAACAAAGTACTAAAAGTAGTTAATAACCTCTAGACGATCTTTTCCCCGGGATAACTGAACATCCGCCTTTGGTGTGTTTTGTGTGTGTGTCCTTGCATATATATATGATGCTGTCACATCATATAATATCACCAAGTTACACTCTTTGATCAGTTCCCCCCCTGAGAGCTCGTAGGGTTTCAGCCCTGCAGGAAAACGCGATTCTGTCATGCTACACTTGTCAATCACTGTGTGCGTTTCTGTGTCTGTATATGCATGTTTGACAGAGAGAGAGTAATTAGAGAATGAGTTAATATCCTAAACACACACGACCCATGATGATAATTAAAGCTTTCAGTCAAACGCTACTGCCAAGTTTCAGGTGGATGGTAATTGGCTGTGAAATGAGTAACGATATAAATAATGTAATTATTTTTTAACTTGTCAAAGGACAAAAAATTAGCATTTTATGTCTTAAAGATTATTCTGTAGAATTTGAAGTATAAGTATAATTTGTACTTTAGGAAAACAGCATCTGGATACCTTGTTGCATAACTGCAGATTTAAAATCTGGACTTTGACTTGGTTTTGAAGATGGGGAAATCAACTTCAAAATGCATGCAATAAAGATGCATGAATAATGTATTGTTTACAGATGTTCTATAAAAGCAGTTAGATAAACCAACAAAAGAAAGTATGAGAATTGTATCCCAAAAACTTTTGAGTGTGAATTGCTCACAAGGATTGATACTTTCTGTACTTCCCTCTGCATTTTCCATCCTCTGCAAGTTGATTTACATATCGCTGGCACAAACTGAAACCACATTCTGTGTCTTGCAAATAATAGATGGGCTGTCTTCTGAGTGGTTGAACATTGCTAATGGTGTTCCTCAAGGTTCTGTTTTAGGTCCACTTTTATTCTCTATATATATATATCAACAGTTTAGGTGAAAATGTGGATGAAGCTACTTTACATTTTTATGCGGATGATACCGTGATGTACTGTGCAGGTCCCTCCATTCAGGAGGCTGTTGTTAAATTACAGGCTGTTTTTAACACTATTCAGACTCAGCTCTCTGAGCTTAAGCTTCTTTTAAATGTTGAGAAAACCAAGGTAATGCTCTTTTCTAAAGCTAAAAAGACTACAGACACTGCTTTGGATATTGTTACTATGCAAGGACAAGTACTCGAAGTGGTTACCTGTTATAAATACCTAGGTATCTAGCTTGATGATTGTCTTACTTTTAAACTTCAGGTCATTTATCTGCTTAAAAAGCTGAGGGTTAGACTAGGTTTCTTTTTCAGAAACAAGTCCTGTTTCTCTTTTGAAGCCAGGAAAAGGCTAGTCACTGTGACCTTTTTACCTGTGCTGGACTATGGTGATTTGATCTATATGAATGCACCTGCCCATTGCCTGGAAAAGTTAGATGCCGCCTATCACAGTGCCCTGAGATTTGTTACTAACTGTAAAGCACTTACTCATCACTGTACCCTGTATGCCAAGGCAGGTCTGCCTTCACTAACTGTACGGAGGCTCAGTCATTGGTACATGTTCATGTACAAAGCCATGTTGGGTAAACTACCTTTTTATATCTGCTCTCTGATCTCTCGACAAATTGAAAGTATGTATTGCCTGAGATCTCATGATGTGGTTTTATTAAGTGCTAGGACTGTCTTAGGGAAGAAAGCTTTTAGTTGTGCAGCTCCACTAAATTGGAACAGTCTGCAAACATGTTTAAAACTGAGCACTTTGGTTCCCCTGCATCATTTTAAAACTCGGCTGGGTGACATGCTGTTTGATACTCATGGTACCTGTCTCTGTAAATAGAGTTTGTAAACTGTACCCTGTACATTATGTTGTATGTCATCCTTATTGTTGTTCTGTTGTTTTTATGTTACATGTGTAACTAATGTGCTGCAGGTCACCCTTGAAAAAGAGATCTTTTGATCTCAAGGGGCTTTCACCTGGTTAAATAAAGGCTACAAACAAACAAACAATAGAATACATCTAAATCCCTTGTTTTTTGTTGTTATTTCATACATGTTACCCTCTGTGTTTTTATATTTTACTTTATCAATAATGAATTCTCAAATAAGTAGATAACTTTGTAAAATATATGACATTTAGAAAGGAAAATAAACAGAAGTATACAATGTTGTATTGAGTTATAAATCTGTCTTCTGCATATCAGTAAAACTCTTAAACTTTGAAGGAATTGAAAATGACAGAATATTACAAAAAGAAGGATCAAACAAAAAAAAAGGCAAAATAGTGAGCTCAAGAAGTGGGTACTAACATAAGGACATGCTTACCAGGGGTGATATCTATCCTGACACTCGTCAATTGTGTGACAAAGAGCTCTTGGCCACACACACACACACGCACACTCACACAAATGGAAACACACACCTGCCACCTCTTTGAGTTTTCTATTCTTGCGGGTGTACTTACATCCCAACAGATAGTAGAACAAGTGTAGAACGCGCGCGCGCGCACACACACACACACACACACACACACACACACACACACACACACACACACACACACACACACACACACACACACTGCTCACCTTGAAATGTATATGCCCAAAGCGAATCCAGAAGCATGGTGGAGCATGTGTTACAAGATGACAGACGTCTGGTAGAATGTCAAGTTTTAAAGGAGAGGAGAAAAGGGAGAGCAGTGAATAAAACCACACTGCTATTAAGGGAAGGAAGGATAAAAGAAGAGTGACAAAATGAATAGAATATGATTGCAGGCCAGTTTGGCAGTACTGCTAATGTGACACTCATGCCAATAAAGCAGAGAGTATTGAATCAGATTCGAAGGAGCGGGAGCGATAAGAATTGAGCTCAGTGGGAAAGAAGGACGGAACCAATTTGAAAAGGAAGAAAGATAAAGAATAAGAGAAAGGAGATCGACAACATCTGTGTATGGGAGGCAGTCGTATTCTATACGATGCCACACACACCAGTGTTGCTCTCTGCAATCTTTACATCCTGCTGGTTTCTTAAAAATCGTACCATGGATCATTGCGTGTGTTTGCATCTATTTGTGTGCCTCAACTCTTTGTTTTGCCCTTCACAATTAAAGCTGAATTACACTATAATTACACTGATGACAATTAGCTGTGAGATGGGGAATAACATTCATTTCTCATAGGTTGTATTACATTTCACATAGCAACACAGCAATGTAAAAAAGGAGACCCTTGGCATGTTCACCATTCTTTCTGCTGACAGTCCTTCTTTTAAGACCTTTAGCTACTGAGCATTCGTCAACCTGTTAACAATTAGGACTGTCTTTAAGAAAGTAGCTATTGTGTGATTTTTAAATATGGCCTTTGAGTTCAGACATTAATAGAAGGGTCTGTTAACAGGCTGTCGACTGATTCATCTTTACCCTAAACACAAAGCTAAAGAAGGTGGTAAGAATATCATAATATACTGACATCGATGTAACATTGAATCACCATTTTATGTCAGGATGAACATAGCTACAATATTGTAAACACCCCATACAAAATATTCAGGATTTGACTCTTAGCCATCATTAAATCAATGTATGCATCTTATTTCCATTTAGCCCAACATCCCAAACAACCCGCTTATCTGAATGTCATCATGTCGCATGTTGACATTCATTATCAGTATAAAAACATGGCTGCCCTTGTCGTGTGTTACAGAGATCGAACGGGGCGGCTGTGGGGATCCCGGGGTGCCGGCATTCGGTCGCCGTAACGGTGATCGCTTCCAACATGGAGACGTTTTGACCTTCATTTGCCAGGCAGCCTTTGAACTTGTGGGAGAGAAGAGCATAACATGCCAGCACAACAACCAGTGGTCTGGCAATAAACCCACTTGTATCTGTAAGTACACACAGTTTATACAGATATGTACATATTTTCCTCTTTTGTTCTAAGTTTAAATGATCCTTTATTCTTTCTTACTTTGTACCTATATCCATCTAGCCTTTTTGCTTTCATTCTTACCTCTCAACATAACTTGTTTCCGTCCTGCCGTTCTTCCTTCTCTCCTTGCTGTTTGTAGTCTCATGTTTCTTCAACTTCACGGCTCCATCGGGGACTGTGTTGTCCCCAAACTACCCAGAGGAGTATGGGAACAACTTGAACTGTGTGTGGCTGATCATCTCTGAACCTGGCAGCCGCATTCATCTCCTCTTCTCCGACTTTGACCTGGAGCCACAGTTTGACTGGTTGGTGATCAAAGATGAAGGTAATTGTATTTTAATACATCTCCATCTTTTTGAAACGTATGTGTCAAATTAACCCCTCAGGATATGGATACATTCTACATGGCTGAAATATGGATGTGCACTGAAATGGTAAAAACATTCAAATCATTCACTCTTTATCAACTTTTCATCTAAGTCTATAACTAGTTTTATTGTGCACTTTCCCACTGCACACAGAACACAGGGCATTTGTTCCAACCACTGTTCCCCATTGTAATACATGTTATTGATTCAAACTGAATCAAATGAAGCCCTGGTTTGAATGGCTGGTCATTAAAGATGAAGTCGTGTTTAATCGGCTGGCTGTAAACTTGTCCCTCTGCAGGCGTTTTGTTTTTGAAGCAGGGTTTTGAAAATTGCAGGGCAATTAGTGCTGTTGCAACGGGCAAACTGACATAAAGGTTGCTGCTTCAAAGTCTTCCAGTTTGTTCTGTTGAGGGATAGATCACTGCTGTCGCATGAAAAACACACTATCTCTTATTCTGTGTAGACATTTCAACCAAAACAAGTAAATACCTGACATGACATGAATAATGATTATGAAACCATAAGGATTTTGATTGCATTTGTTTTATACAGCATATCAGTAAGTAAGAAAACAGTTGATTTTGTGTATCTTGAACAGATGTAAGCATCTTGTAAAGGATCAGTCTAAACTAAAGTAGCCACATTTAAAACATAGTGTTTCAGAATCACACTAAATGTACTAATGAATGAATTTGGACCTGAAGGCCGCACCACAGTAGTTTCAGGGGGTCCGCGGGGTCTTACAAAGTATTAAAAGTTGATAAATCAATTTAGCGAAAATGAAAGCTATTAAAAAGTATTAAACGGCATTTTCCAAGGTATTAAGAAGGTCCACAGCAACGACAACATGAAACACCCTTTAATTGACTGAAACAACATGTCGGGGAACCCCCTCAAGGCGGCCCCATGCATAGCGCGCCGTAAAATGCTGCTTCTTATTTTAAGTATTGTTGCCTTGCTCCGCTCTGTGGGGGGGGGGGGGGGAGTCTGTCGATGGAGATCAAAGCTGTCCGGTCCCACATGCTAAGTGCTAGCCAGAAAGCCGCGGCCTTTAAGTCCTGACTCTCCCGATGGCCAATCCATGCCTCCCCTGACTGCACGTCGCTGACACACACCGCTCCAGACTCTCTGCACGGAGGAGCCGCAAAGGAGCAGCGGAGTCCGGGCGATGCTGCTCCTCCAAGGAACACATGTTCACTAAGCCAAACTATATCCGGTCACAGAGATCTGCTATTTTAAAGTAAAGTCAACACATATCGACCCTAAATATAGTCTATATTAAGAACGAGAAAAGTCTTAACATATATATCGTTTTTTGTAAACATATGACAAATGTGTGAGGGTGATGACGTCAGAGCATCGTCCTATGTGCCGGGCTTAGCCCCGGACAGCCCCGGCCCAATTTGTGAGGGAGCTCCTATATGAAGCTCACCAAAGTTTAATATATTTCATAGTTCAAAGTTTTGTCAATTGTTTTGTTTATTGGTCAAATACTGGTTTCTAATGGTTTCTGAGGAGTTCTACTGGAATGAAAGAGCACAGAGTACAGAAGCAACAAAGCAGCATACTGCATTAAAGCTGACCTTGACAGAGAGGTTGAAGTTCATTTGGAAAGGAGGCTTCAGTAGTCTGTCTGCACTCTGTTTAGTTATGCTCTCTTACAATCAATATAGTCAATGTGAGGTAAAGTGTGTCGCCAATGTAACCGGTTAGAACTCGAAGTGGCGATGAGATCTTAAAATGTGTGGAAAGGGTCTTAAAAAAGGTCTTAAAAGGTATTACATTTGACTTCAGGATTCCTGCATATACCCTGAGTTTAGCTGCTGACAGATGAGAATATTGGTTTACAAATAATGAAACTCGGCATTGACATGGAAAGTACATTTGTAGTTATTTATTATAAAGTTGATTTGAGAATATATTTGAAAAAGGCAGTGACAGCCATTTAAATAACCAGATCACTTTTTGGGGGGTTGCTAATTCATAAAATAATATGTATTGACTATTCATAAATGTTTTGAGATCTCCTTTTGTACATTATTATCCTTATTATTAACAACTGTGCTGGTATAAAACCAATGTGGTGACCAACAGTCTGCTGCTATGCCTTTAATACATGCATACATACAAAGGATGCTTTAGTGCAAGGGGAAACATCATTTGCATTCTAATGCCATAAGTTAAAAGTGTCCCTGGGCCTGCATGGGAGAGACCCAAGGGCTGTTCCATTCACCAAGGAGTTGATATGACCTTGAAGCATATGACTTCTTATTTAATCCCTGGATAATAGATAATTGAAATAAAAACAAATGGCGAGCACAAGTGAACAGGGCAAAGTAATAATCAAGCCATTAATCTTCTGAGCTGCAGAACAGTAACATTAAACCCTGCCTAGAATCTTAAAGCATGCTTTTAAACACTTTATAAAGGGTCGCCATCTAATATAATAGAAGATGGTGATAGACTTTTACAAAAGGCTTTTCTGTGAATCTCCTCTCTTAGATAAGATAATGTAGGACCTTGTCACTCTTTCAGCTATTGTCTCATTGCTTCTCTTCCCACTTCTGGTCTCTTGCCTATCAATGCAACAGTTGATGGAGTGAAAGCTTTTGAGTTGCTGAAGAACAAAGAGACTGGCACTGTGCAACTCATTCAGCTGTGTAGCCGAATAGACTCTAAAGTGAAAGGAATCCAAAAGTCAAGGAGGAAGAAATGTAAGCTTTCTGTTGGCCTGTGCAAAAATGGTCTGGGTCGCTTACTCACACCGCATTTCATCTCACTTTGTAGGTGGATTTATAACATTATTTTGACTGGAGGATATGTACTTAACAATGTAATCTAAAACACACTGTGATGGATTGTGCAGATTGTTATGTTTAAATACTTTGATTGCTTTAAATGAAAAGATATGAAACAGTGTCTATACTCTATACCATGCACTTCAGCCATTAAGTATACCAATATGCAAGGCGTATTTTAAGCTGTGTACATTATTCTGATATTGTACTTGCCCCTAAGATATTTAATACACAATCATACAGTAACATCTGTTTGTGAGGTTTCCTAAATAGACTCTCACAGGAATACACTCAATGACAGGAGGAGGTAAGTCTTACATTGGTATTGTAACTGCAAATGTATACACGCATTTGCTCTAAATGGGAATGGATTACCAACACTAGAGTTTAATATTGTTAAATGAATTTCAAACATAATTGCAGATGCCAGAGGGTTAATGTGAGCATCACTTAGACCACAGAGGTGCCTGGAATTGGAGCAATGGCATTCTCAAAGGAAATCAATGAAAAATACACAAGATACAAGACACCGCATCAAACCATTTGCCTTTCAGTAGAAGGTCCTTAGTGGAATAACAATGGCAATGTTGTGTGGCAAAGCCTATAATGAATAATCACCCGTGCTGCTTCTCCCAGCACCAATCTTCTAGACTCCTGGTGGGCCATCAGCAACAAGCATTGTGTTAGTTCTGTCCGGGAGCTGAAGTTGTGCATTCTGATAGCTCATCAGCATCAGATGACATTTAGAATCACCGATCACACTGGAAAAATATAATTCCAGTTTCTTTCAATCAAGACAATACGGTGGTCTTTAGAACTTCACAATATCCTTTACTTACTGATGATTATCATGGTGCTGCTGCTGGTGGTGGGTAATCTGTTTATTTGTACCTGCTACAAACTACTGCTGCTGGCTGCAGGCGATTAATTTCTCCATCAACCACCTCAGCCTCCTCCTGTTCAACTGTCTTATCACCATATTTGGAGCTAGCATTTATTTCCTTTTGCATTATGTCCATACCATATCTCACTGCTATGAGCCTGCTGGGTTGTTCTGTGTAGCTCTTTAGGGTTTTATTATGCTCCCCACTGAATCTGTCGCTGCTGGTTGGATCATTTGAGAGCACCCTCAAGAGCAGAGTGTATTCTGCCAAAACAAATCATGTAGCCATTTGTTGTAGTAAATGGTCCTATGCTGTGACACAAATGTCTCAGACTGAAATGAGGTGATGCATGGTTACAGCCGTGCAGGCCAGTGCGGGAGGTGTAATGGTTGCGGAGGCCATTCAATTGGTATACAGTGGGGCCTTTAATGGCTATAGAGCGGTGCCTTAATGCCACAGCATACCCTAACATAGCAGCCAGGTTCAGCCATTCATTGAAATCATGTACCCTAAAGGGGATGATGGGTACTTGGAACAGGATAATGCTCCCTGGCATGGTGATAGAGTTGTCCAGAAATGTGAGATTCAAGGCACATTCAGGCGAAATAACTTTAATGACCTACACACCACAATCCCCTGATGTCAGTCTCTCTGGTATTCACTCAAATGTAGCGGCATCTGTAGAAAAGAGCATCTACGTACCAACCTTTGAGTTTTTTTCAAGGCACTGATGCCTTTCTGGTTTTCTCTAACACCAGAACCCAACAGGTCTTTTGCTGAGTCACTGCAGAGACATGTGGGAGGTGTTAATGGTGCTAAAGGTGCTCCAATGCAGTACAAAACAGGGGGCTACATTTCTCAGATCACTTCCTATTTTGTCCATTAAGTTGGAAAGTTAGAGCTTTGTATAGACAGGATGTATCCTGTACATTAATTATACTTTGTATCATAATTTCAATGGTCTCAGCAAAATACTAAACCTGTAGAAAAGAAAGTAATCCTTGGCCTGATTGAAAAACACCAAAATGTCCGACACATAGTTTGTAACAACAAAGACAATGTAGCTCACTGCTGATGTTAAAACTCCGAAAAGGCTGATGAAGTAGTCAAAATGTTCTCCTCCAGGAAACAGCTGCAACGTTTTAATACAACAAATCAATCATTTGGCACAGTTTGCTGTTAATACTTGTTTACATTTCTTAAATTAGATTTTAAATTCAGGTTCTATGATGGATTTTTTTCTCCATTTGGTATTGACGGTATTACAGAACTGAATAAAGTGAATTGAATTGGTTCTTTTCACTCCATTAAATTATTTAAGCCGACTGACAGGCGGGTGATGGGCTAATAGTGCTAGCCATTGTGCTTTCAAAAACCCTTTTCTCTGGTGATTTTCTCTTCGCTGATTTCTAGAGAGGTGGCATACTTAATAAAGTAGACCATGTACGTTGGTTGCATTTGTCTTCAAATGAATTCAAAACAACATTTTAGGATTTGCTAACTTTTTCAGGAGTCTGGGATTCTATGGTGTCATCTAGGGCTGCAACAAACGACTCATTTGATAATCGATTAATCTATCGATTAATGAAACGAGTAATCGATTATTCGGATCGTTAAGGTTTTAACTGTACTATTACTTATATCGATACTGCTTATCGATCCAGTCCTTTTAACGATAGTATTAACGGTTATTTTGACAAGAAATAAGGTAAACTAACTAAACAAATTGTGAACAAAACTAACATTGCTTTTTATTTTAATTAAATGCATAATATTTCACATCAAAAGAAACAACAATGTTTTAACAAATCGTATTAAATAATCTGATGATAGACTGTAAACAGAATAGCTGAAACTTTAACAAAATAAATAACTCAGTTTCCTATAATCATTAACCCATGTTTGTATAACTGAGTTAACTCCGTGTGTTGCTGCTAGCATACATAACATACCTGACGTGGAAACGTTACTCGTGGATGGAGCTACAGAGCTGCTAGAAAGACAGTCGAACCCGGTGCATTCCTCCGTCTGAATGTGGAGCACTTTTGATAAATGTTTAAACAAACTGCTCGTGTTACCGCCCTTACATACTAAACTGTTATTGCACTTTTGGTAACGAGCACTGTCCACATCGAGACGGCTAAAGTTTAACCACACCTCGGAGCGCGTTCTCTCCGCCATCTCCTCCGTGTGTGTGTTGCTGCATGTAGCAGCTGCGTGTGTGTGTGTAAACTGCCCCGCCCCCTCGCAAGCAGGCGGGGGAGAGATCTCTCGTCTGAATTGGGAAGATCGAAAATACATTATAGACGCATTTTGTAGTCATATTGCATATTAGAAACGGAGTTGGCGACACTAAGACTGCGATATAATGTTTATGTAGCAATAATACATATGACATATGTTTTAAATGTCTCCTGTACCGATAAAAAAGAGCGATAACGTTGGAGCTTAACGGGGTGTAGAACACATGTGATGACGTCACCAACGAATCGACGACTGAATTAGTTGCCAACTAATTTGGTAATCGATTAAGTCGATTAGTTGTTGCACCCCTAGTGTCATCTCACAGTATTTTTCTTTTTCTTGCATAATAACACTTGCTACATCTCTTGAGTCTCATAGGGTGTTTTGTATTAGTCTTTCACAGAAGTCCTTCACTTTCCAAGTATGTCCTTGGCCTAATGTTATTGAGCTGGAATAAGATGGGCACCATTAAAACGTGTGTTTGAACTCTGTTCTATTTCAGGCCTGTCTGAGCCAACAACGTTCGGGACGTTCTCGGGGAAAGATGTTCCATCACAGATCGCCTCGAATGGACACATTATGAGACTGGAATTTCAATCAGATCATTCCAATACTGGAAAAGGCTTCAATATCAGCTACACCAGTATGTGCAACCTATCTTTGTATCTCTGTTTGTCACTGTATTTGCATGCAACCCAATCAAACTAAACACACATTGAAATGGTTCAAAAACTATTATGTGTGATGTGGCCTTCATTTGTGTACTATTTCTAGTGTGTATTGTTGGACTCTCTCTGTGTGTAGTGATCCAGACAAATGTCAGCATCACATCCCATTTGAGATGTTTTTAGAGCCACTACAATGGAGGTTTGATAGCGCAACATTCTTCAACAATCATAAAGGACAGCAGATGAGCAACAGATTTCTGAGGTCAGCTCCTCGGAAAAGGGGCAAAAACAAGTTTCTTGATGGATACAGCAGTTTGCCACATCATTTTGAATAATAATAGAAAAAGAGATATACACAGGAATGTTAGTTGTCTATAACCCAATGCAGCAGCAATATACAATATGTTCTGAATAAGGGGAGATGGTCTCTAAGCACTTCCCTTATCACTCCTGCAGTGTTACTGCTTGACTGATCATCTGTTTTTAAGTCTTACTCATGCTAGTTAAACCTGTCCCATTGTCAGCTTTGAACCTGACTACTGCAGCCTGTGTATTTATCTGCACTAAGCTGGAATACTTCTGCATGGTTTATTCTGATTCATTCTCTGTGATTAGCATGCGGTTTTGCACCATTTCACACGCTGCCTCCCAAATGACCTTGTCTCTGACTCTTCCTTGAGAGGTGACATTTGACAAATGAAAGAATACTTTTTTTTCGGGTCTTCGGCACAGCAGAGTATTAAAAAAAGATCCGACCTCTAACACTTTTTTGCACGCTAATCCTAGGCAAGGCAAGTTTATTTATATAGCACCTTTCAACACAAGGCAATTCAAGGTGCTTTACAAAAATTAAAGGTTAAATGCAATATTGGAAGCAGACATATTCCATCAGAATCATGTTTAACTCACTAATATGTCTAAGAGTAAATACAAATGATTATACTCGCTTGCTTTTTTATTATTTCTATGGTCAACTGGATTGTATATACAGTAAGGTACTTACCTGTACTCTTTACCAAAAAAGCTGAACTTTATTCATATAGTTTGTGATCATGAAACTTTCTAGGAATGTAATTTGAAATGATCATATGAATTGTACTTAGGGATTTAATAAAAATCAGGCATCTTTGTGCTGTATCTGTAATTTGGCCCATTAACATTTTAATGCATATATGAATATCAATTTGAGTTTCAGTGGCTACATCAGTCTCTATTTATATGAATGTTTGAAAGTCAAATATGAACTTTGACACACCAGATTGAGCAGTTATGTGCAAATATAATAATAAAAGTCAAGGGAAATTGATCCCATAGGGTAAATGGTTTCCACGTCTGATGATTTACTTCAATGTAATGACAGTTAAGGATATTTAAAGACATCATCGCCATAATTGGATTAGGGATTATTATGTTCAAAAAGTGTTTTCACTAATGGACTGTTAACAAAACCATATTCTCTATTACCTATTTTTAGACCAAATGTTTAATTCCAATCATTTACTATCTAAAATTGATTCGTTTTAAAAAAAAAAAAGCTACAACCCAGACACTCATCGTACACTCTCTTTTCCTTCTCGAGCTTACACATATCATTTCAATATTTGGTAAATTGTCATTGTGTTTGTTCATATATATACATTCCTCTCCTTGATTTGTTCCTGCCAATCTATTCCACCACTTCTCTCTATATCTGGTGTCAAAGTGCATGTTTTTTTTCTCTGGTATGCCCTTTATACCTAACACACATGTACATACAAATGGGCTTGAATGGGCTGTCGGTATGTCATACTCGTA